CCCGCTGGGAGTTACGGAGCCTTAATGGGCGTCACGGAGCCTTACAGGGAATGTTCCACATTTGAAGATATTGAGTCAGGCATCAGATATGATGGGAAATGTTTTCTTGTAACTATTCATAAGCTTTCAAAGCTCAAAACGACGCTAAGTAGCAAAGTTTCAGTTTATAAAAATGAGCCCCATTACGTCATTGTTTGATTGCGTCATGAAGTGGGTTTGTGATGACAGCAAAACATGGCATCATTTGGCAGCCAGACCTAAAGAATACCTCGAAACACACGAAAGCTGACGCCAACTGGCCATCCTTGTCGCGGGGGCTGTGTCGGGGTATGGACTGGTGGGTGGGTTATTTGTTGATTTTTTGTCTTGGCGCTGGCCATAAGAAAAGCTTTCGTGGACTGTTTGACATGTGCAACGTAGCGATTGCCAGCTCTTATGGCAGATTATTAATATCACAGCACGACATGCTGTGCTGCTGCTGTTGCTTCTTTGCTGTTGATGATTTTGTCAATACTTTATCGTCAACCCATCGTTGCGCGCAGTGCTGTAGTCCTGACATTGATATCATGTGATGTGTACAATAGTCACTGTCCCGATTGTTTGTAACTGGAAATGGGGTGACGTGCCAAAATTAATACATTTGTAATATTGCCTTTATTGTTTGTAGCTGGAAATGTGGTGTCATGCGAAGACTAATAAATCTAACGTTGCCGTGCATTGGTTGTCAAAGCATTGCTATTGCTATGGAAAAGATGGTAAGGTTGGGCCACCAATATTTTTTTGTGTTTTGCCTAGGATTGTTCATGCGATTAATAGTTAACGCTGATATAACTATTGTGGTGCAACAACATTCTTGCCGTAGACAGTCCTCTGGAATTTTTGAATATATTGTTACCAGTCATTCATAAATTGTAAGCTGATATCTCACAGGCTGAACAAAGAGTACTCAACCAATGTGGTACATTGTGGAATGACACTGGTCAATAGCTTCATTTTGGCACTATCTCAGTGCTGTTCTGTGGCATGACATAATGATCACCAATATGTTGTTTTACTGCAATCCATACCGCTTTCACAATAAATCCAGCATGAAAAGGTAGGTCAAGCATGCACTCTTGTATTGACTTCCCATCTGACATATGACTGGCCAAAAACGTATGCTACAATATACAAATCGCTTTCAGCAAAGCAGACAACCAAGAAGTGGCATCACTTGCTCAGACAGGTTCGGGAATCCAGAAAACGCAGGTGGGAGAGATGCAAACACATCTTTCACTTCCATGGTCATGCAACGTGCCGCAGCCATCAGGCTGCTTTACTGAAAATGACAGGAAAATTGTATATGTGGTGAAATGACACTGCAAACATGCTGACCTTGCACAAGGCTGGAGGCATGACAAATGCATGTAGTTACGGTTTGATGGGCAAAATGTTAGGAAGTGATGAAGCTGCCAGTGCACACCAGGCTCATAATGAATATATTATTAAGCTCTGTCAAAGAGACCAACAGCAATACTTTTCCATCTTTCTCAGCACCCACCATCCCACGCAAGTTGCAGTGACTATGACATTGGTTACTCAGGAGCAATGCTCGCCTGCATACAATATTTAAAAAGACAGTACAATGTGTATCAGCAGCAATAAAGCTGTATTTTCAGAATTATTTAGGAAAAGATAATTTTGCTGAGCCATATCATATGAGCCAATACTGAGCATGTCCATTAATGGGCTGCAAACACCAGCCCCTACTGCTAAAATGAATTGCTGATATAATGAAAGCAATGGATAAATTACTCAGTGCTCAAAAAAAATAAATTACAAATTACAGTGTGCTCACAATGTTGGCAGGATCACAATGAAGTACCAGTACCAGTAATTGCCTTTGTACACCCCTGCAATAGAATTACTAGTGTTTCTCTCAGCTTGCCTTTGTCATTTCCAACACAAACATCAAGGTAGAGGCAGGCATCAATATCAATAGGTATCAATATATCAGGCATTAATATATCACATTTTATTGGGAGTCAGTGGACTGAAGAATACCAAAACAATGTTTTCTTTCAGAAGAAGAAACCTTGCACGCACACTCCCTATTACATCAATACCAATGCAAGCCACTGGCACACACCATCAGTAATCGCACGCATTTCGAGCCGCCGATTCACACTCTTGTCAAATAAGTGTGATCTCACATTTGCACAGCTCGCGGGACTATCAAATTACAGGTTTTGTCACAATTTCCGCACAGATCTTCAGCCACGGCACCAGACTTCACCGTGACCTCCCTTCGAAACAAAGTCCCAACGGGGTTTTATAGTAACGCGGCTCAAGAGCTTCTTCTTGTAAAGCACAATCGTTTGTTCAAGATTTAAATTTGTGGTAACATATGTGTGAAATATTAAGTGAAATATATCTCTAATATTACTGTAATGTTTCCCTAATTTCATATTGCCTTGCTAACCCATAAACCTGTGCAAGGTTCTGTGCTCCGGTACACAAGGCGTCAACTGAGCTGTTTGTAAGAGATACGTTAGTAGAACAAGCAAAAAACAAACGCCAGCAGGAGAAAAAGACGGATTTGCCGTCGCGTTTTCTTTTTTATAACTTCGGGGAGTGCACATTTGTTTGGGCGTCGTACTTTTTGCATACAGTGGCGTTCTTTTTTTATAACATTGACCTGTGGCCTAGAAATGAGGAAAAAATGACCCGTGTACGACGAGTGTCGCACAACCCGAAATTGCTCACGCTTGTGTTCGCGACACGCATTCAGCAGTAGAATCTTACTAGCAGCCAATCATCTTCCGCCGACTGTACCACTTGTGCAGCGTCATCGCCTCTTCGAATGCATCAGCGGCCATGCTGTTTTGACGATAAATAAAAAACAGCCTGTAATATCACGAGGATCTAATGACGTTCCTAAGGCGCAATTAATCAGAAGGCGATTTTGAGGTTGGCTGTAAATAAGCCTCTTCGTACTTCGCGGGCGTAACTTAGGAACCAAAGCGTTTTGGGTCTTCAAAAGGGCATATCGGTGAACTGCATCAAAATGTATTGAAGATGGCTACTTCAGTTCAAAATGCCATACGAATGTGTAACATTCCCTTTAATGAGCGCCATGCATGCCAGGTCTTGAGCCATTCGGCTCAGTGGTTTGTTTAGCCACACGACGACGAGAGCCGCTGCCGTGTTGCTTGTAGTTATGCGTTTGGTTCATATGAGGCAGCACTGGTACCACAAGGAATGAGTATTGACACGGGGGATAAAGACGATTTTCCATAAGGATGGTGACATGCATCGGTTTGTGAGTGACATCATGACAGGCTTTCAATGCCCAGCTAAGAGAGGGGCGGTTCTATGTCGAGCTCTCGTTATTTATCTTCACCATATTCCGGAATGCAAAAAACCTGTCTAATAACCCCGAATACTATGTAAAGCTCCCTCTCTCCTTGGTCCTCAGGCAGTTTGATCCTGTCCTCTCTCCTTCATCTGGGCTCGACTGCTTTTCTGAAGATGATGCAACAATTTGTTATATGAAAACATAATACCAGATATGGATGATGTTAAGAATTGTGAATATTTAAGAGAACACTTGTGTGTTACCAACACTACAAAATCCACACGTAGGAGGGAGCAAGGAAAATTAGATGTTTTTCTCTATCATAGTGGTGAACGGGCAGGGAGTGCACGAGATTTTCTCCCGCAGGAGATGCTACTTCAAATGAGCTATCCAGACAGATTTCTAGGCATCCGGAATTGCCAATCAAATTGACCACACCTGATCCAACAACAAGTGAAAATACAAGAAGGTGGCATGCTTCCTTTTAAAAACCAACACCCCATGTTTCTGTACAAATGCCTTAACTGTTTATACAGTGTGCACACCGTGAGCAGTTTGCAAGCATCGGCTCAATACTCAGTCAATACATGAAACTTACCTCTGAACAATACGGGCACGTTCTCCGGGCACATTGAAGTGGATAATTTCACTCACGAAGACCGCTCTTTAACCACTTACCGGCTATTCCACAGGAAATTTCGCGGGTAGCCCGGCAAATCGGCCTTGCGTCTCCTGACAACTGGCGGCAAGATTGCTACGCCCCTAGGCCTAGACCACGATGTATAGCTTTGCAGTTTTCAGGGCAAATAATGTTCTGCGAAGAAATTGAAATGAGCTATTTTTAGTACACTCCGATGAAGCATCCACTGGTTGCACGCTATAGACACAATTACCTTTGAAAACAGCATATATAAACAAATATATATATATATATATATATATATAAATAACCTGGTACGTTTGTGGCATTTTCTAAGTCATTGTCAGAAGGAGTTAGGTCCGCTATTGATTCCAACACTAGTACTACTACTTTTGTTACTAATAGAGTTAAATATCGCACTCATGTGCTTTCATAATCAGGGGTATAGTTTCTTATTCAGCTCGGGGGGAGAAGGGCTCCAACTCCCCAACTTTGTTTGGTCTAAATCCATGAAGAAACCCGTGTGTTAGCAGACTTTTGGGGGCAGGTTGCGTCATTTTTCACTGCTCACCTCGCAGCTTGTATTGTGAAGCTACACCTCTGTCCATAACGATTACAGCGCGGCTTTGGTGCATTCGCACTGTGCTTTCCGATCTGAAGTGATTGTTGCACATACATCTGTGACTCGATTGGTTTGGAAACTGATCTGTCGCATGTGCATGTGGCCAAGGAAGTATACATATACACATGCATGCATATACACAGAGAAAACATGCACTCCAAAGTGCGAAACAGTATTATTCACCTTCGGCAGAGGTCGGTATGTGCCAAGGTACGAACGCATAACAAACTTTGAAGCCGCGAGGGTATCTTGGTTTTTGTATATTGGAACCAGTTTGATGCTCACAAAAACGTTTATGACATATGCAATGACTCTCTGAAGAATGCTTTCGCATAAACAGCTTTTTGTTATTTGAGTTTACAGCTTTTATACTTTTCGCAGCACCCAAGCTTGGTTCGCCGTCACGGAAGTCTTTTGCTGAGTCTGGGAAACCAGAGGCCCGGGGTCTGGCTCCCCGCGTTGCCCGCCTTTCCTGCCAGGGTGAGAGGCAGCCGACGCCATATAGCGTCAACAGCTAAATGCGTTGGAAAACCTCAATGACACACAACAAGCTTTCGCGTAGCTAAACACGGTCAATCTTTAGATGTTTCTGCCGAAAGGGAATGTTTCACATTTGAAGATACTGAAGCAAGCATGAAATGCAATGAAGTAAGCTTGCGTATAGGTATTGGTGTACTTGTAAGCAGAAAACATTCCTCTAGTTAAGGTAATTTCCCTGTTAAGTAAGCATGTTCCTCGATGTGTCATTGTTTGATGATGTCATCGTACCTTGCATGTCATTAATCGAGGGCCAATTAAGGTCCTTATATCTGAAAAAATTGCTTACAAACGCTAGATCTGAACGACTCGTCAATTGTGTCTTTCTTGGCCTTGTTCACTGCATGGCTCATGAAGTGGCAGAATTTGAATGACGTTATTATGACGTCATGAATGTCAAGGTGATCTTAAAATCCCCTCCCCGAAATTTTCTCTTCACCTTCGCGGCCGTGTGAATCAGAGGGTAGATGGGCTGAGGTCTTAGAAAAAGACAAGGCTGGAAACTGCACAGAATGATCTACCAGATGGCTATTTCAGTTCAAAACCACATACAAATTTGGAACACCCCCTTTACATTCACCTAGCTTACAACTTTTGTTGTAACCATGCCGTAGCGAAGGCATTGCTAAAATACCACCATTGCATAAAGACATATATTTGTGAAGAATGAAACATCCTTGAATTATGCATGAAGATGTTGGTGCATAACCTCACAGGTGATCCTCTCTGCGGACAGCAAGAAATCCATAGGGCTTCTTCAGCATGCATCAGACGAAATCGAGGCCCGTTTGCGCGCCATCCTTTCCCTGAAAATGACCCCATTCCCGACAACACCAGCTCGTGACGAGCTGTCGGCTTATTCCGCCGTCTCAACAGCGACATCCTGCACCTTCGCGATGTTCAGCGGCAGACCGAAGCCATAGCCAGCAGCGTAGCCGTGGGCCAGGCCGAGGCCAGCTCCGCAGCCGTGGGCCAGGCCGAAGCCAGCTCCGCAGCCGTGGGCCAGGCCGGCGTAGCCGACCACGGCTGGGGCGGCGGCGTAGGTGGTGATGGCCGGCGCGGCGGCGGCGTACGTGGCGACGGGCGCGGCCACGGCCACGGGAGCGGCGTGCTCGACGGTGGTGGACCTGACGATGGGCGCGCCCTGGCTGTAGGAGACGCCGACCGGGCGGCGCACCGTCGAGATGACGGGGCTGATGGAGGCGAAGGCGTGCGCTTCGTCGGTGCGGTAGGCGAAGTTGCCGCCGAAGCGGTGGCTCTGGATGACGGCCGAGTCGTGGCTGGGGGCCCGCACAGGGTGGTGGCCGGGGCGATGAGGCCGGCGCTGGCACAGGCCAGGCTGGCGCACAGGACGGCGATCTGCCAGCAAAGCGTAGCATGTTCCAGCAACACGCAACACAACAGCTGTAGCGTAACAACTGTAGTCAGCATTACTACCCGCACAGACGCACCCCGGTGTCAACCAAAACAGAAAGATAAAACGCTCGATTTTTACTAAAATCAGATCACATCTCAATATTACTCTACCGTAACATTTCAGTTGGCAAGTGATCGTTACTGATGGCAATGGACGCCACTTAAACATACCACCCGGCAGACCCACCACTTTCATGATGATGCTGTTTGGCTGCGTCGGCAGATGAGAATGACTAGAGTGCGGCTGACTGGGCCTTTATACCCCTCTCTAGTGACGTCACTCTGAGGCCTAGTATCCTCACCAATGGCTCTTCGGCGGTCGGAGCCTCCATCAAGGTCGTGGCGTTGGGAGTGTCCCGTTTCCAACCACAAATGTTGGAGATTATTGCCGGGATCGACCTGGCGCTCGCATTACGAGCGAGGTCGTAGGTCAAGTAGGTGCAATTTGAACCATGCAAAAATTGGAACCACTGATCGCAGATTCATGTTATCTTTCAGCCAAAAAAATATTAAAAAGTTGCAGGGTAGACATTGTTACGCATTTACGTGCAGGCTGTTTCAACAGCGAGTTTGTTTTATGTATTTGTGCAACATTTTCACGATTCTTCTTTCCTGTTCAACAAATACGGAAAACATAAGCTTTTCCTATTGCAAAAAGCTGAAGATCACGGGCGGAAAACGGGTTTGAAGACCCGCCGTTGCAGCGACACGAGATTAACCGATCCTGACAAGGGGAGAAAATCATCGATCGCATTGGCAAAAGTGTGGGTCGACGCATACGGAAGGTCCCGCGCTTTCGTGCGCATCCCATGTATCTGTCCGTTTTAGGGTAGTATCAAGGATGCATGTCACACTCAGCAGCCAGAGCGGATAAATACGTGAAACCAATGCATGGCGCAGGCGATGCACCGGCTACAACGCACAGGTCCATCTCAAAACTGCTTGATCCACTGATGCGTCAGGACTCAAGCAGAAAGCAGCCAGTGCCGTACGCCATATTGGGCTAGATTGGGATTGTTCGGATGTTCGCGAGAAATAGGCCCCTTCCGTGGTTTTGACATTCCACCAAAAAAACTAAATGGCATAAATGTCAAGTTTCAGTTATAGATTAAGCTGATCGGAAGCCTCCATTGCCGTGATATTCGCCTCTTGAAAACGCCTCGCTATTCTAAAGAACGAGAACTACGCTATAAAATTACTGTAAAAGCTTAACGAATAAAAGCAGCAGCTCGGCATTGGATACATATCAAGAGCTCAATTATCAAACTTAGCTGTCTTCTTATTTGTGTTGTGTTTTGCGCGGTGGCTCCACCCCGCGAATTCCCGACCCACTTCCGACCAATATGCTGTTCTTGTAGTTGCTTGCAACCTAATGACCGGTTGATCGCAAGCGGTGTGTTAAAGCTTCATGCTTTGCCTGCTGTCTTGGACTATGCTGTGTGGTGTGTGTGGTGTGTGTGTGTGTGTGTGTGGTGTGTGTGGTGTGTGTGTGTGTGTGTGTGTGTGTGTGTGTGTGGTGTGTGTGGGTGTGTGGTGTGTGTGTGTGTGGTGTGTGTGTGTGTGTGTGTGTGTGTGTGTGTGGTGTCGTGATTCTATAGCTGCATTTGCAAAGGCATGTATGAACCTGGTGGTACAAAATACCACATTATTGTTATTACATTGTAAAGCTGATGCATCTCTTCAATTTATCCTGGAACTGCTCAGGTAACTACCCTCTATCCACGACTTTGTCTTTGACAACATTTTGAGGAATGCAATATTAGTATGACATTAATGACAGTAGCAAACCAAACAATGCTGTGAATATTTGTGGATAGGGTTGGGATGCAACCCCATCTCATTACATATTATAGTTGTAAGGGACTGAATCCCACGTCACACCAATTTTGCATCATCATCATCTTCCTTAGGTATGCAAGTGCACATAAACAACATTATGTGATGGATAAATAATTTCCATGAAAGTGATCAGATATGGAATTTTGGCAGCTGTTCCATTAGATGTTTCAAAGTTCAGGCTTGTTAACTGCTATCTAAGTGCAATTATATCAAAGGTCTGATAAAGGCCAGTTCTTCCCTTGAAAGCTGATGATAATTATAGCACTCACCTTTTTTGCTTAGATATGCCAGGGACCTGCAATGAAATTGTCATAGACAGACGCCTAGGAGGGAGGCATGGAAAGAAGAGCTGTCAGAAGAATGTGTTGCTGTGAATAGATTTTGGACGGGGTCTGTGCCACAAGCCACCAATAGTGAGAACTGTGCACGCTGTTTAAG